GTTATTCTAAACAAGCATCTTGAAATTTCTCAAGTCCTCTAGTATGAGACAAGGAAGACCCTTCAATTGTAAAGCAAGGAAGACCCTGCAATTATAAAGCGGGGAAGTGTGAGGCAAGAAAACATAAGACTAATTTGTCTTAGTAGTTATCTCTAGTCCAAGTTAATTATAATGGAAATATTTCGAGTGTGAAGACGCTAAAATAGTCTCTATAGTTAACGAGGTGAATTAGTATAAATTATGTGTGCTGGTATCTTTCATGGTTTCTTTACTTTTGAATGCAATATTTTTTTTTAGAATATCAAAACCATTACAATTCAAACCCACCCACCCACCCCTTATGATTTTATCACATTCACAAAAGACTCTCTATCTCATCTTGATCTCTATGAAAATCCTCTTCGAATTTCCCACAACTCAATGACTCCTTGTCTCACCTCAGTATCAATGAAAATTCCCCTTTAATTTTCCAAGATCTAAAAACTCCTCGTCTCACCTTAACCTTTATGGAAATCCCCCTCAAATTGCCCACGATCTAAAGATTCCTCGTCTCAGCAAGATCTCTATAGGACCTTCGTTCAAGGAAATTCCTCATTATACCCGTATACATTCTCTCAGGCTCTACATAAAATTCCCAAAAATATCCTCTGTTTTCAGAGATGCATCTCCAGACGCACTAAATTTCATTTTTTTGAAAATAAAATTAGGAGATGCACAACCGAAGTCAATTTAAGGGTGTGTTCGGAGATACACTCCAAATACACCTTATTTTTTATTCAAAAAACTAGTTCAGAGATGCATCTCCGAAATAGGTGAGCATATTTAATTACTCACGCCAGACCCTCCCACTTCTCTTTCTTCATTTTCATAAAATCAACTTTCTCTCTATCTCATTATACCCATTTCAAGTTCCCACTCAAGATCAAGTTGTGAAGCTACATTTACTTGTTTCTTACCATTCCCAACTTCTTCTACCTACTTCATTCAACATCAGAGCACTTTACACCCTCTCCAACACATTTTTGAGTAAGTTTCTCATTTAACTTATTTTGATTTTTGATTAATGTATTAGCTCAAATAAGTCAGTTTTAATACATTAGATGCTCAAATAGGTTAGCGTACAAGTTTTGAGACTATGTTTATATGATTTGGATGAGTTTGGATGGGTTTGGATGTTAGGGAAGTTCCATAAAAATGTCTTCCATTGAAGCGGACGAAGCTTTTTTTCGGATATGCATATTCGAACTGTTTTGTTTCAGGTTTTCAGATATGCATATCTGAACTCTTTCCTTCCTCATAATTTTTTTATGTTTTTTCTCAAGAATATGGATGAAAACCAAGGAAGGATGAGACTCGAGTGACCCACCCTAACTGCCTCTGCTCATCGCGAGAGGGCTCGTCAGCACGAGCAGGCTAGAGTCGCCCTCCCTTTGCCTCACAATACGGAGGCATCGGCCTCTAGGAGGAATCGACTATCACGGGGGTCTGGATCCCAGAGTGGTGTGCGTCATGATAAGGATGCCTCAGTTGCACCCCAGGTCCCAGTTGATGAGGATGCCCCCCTTGCATGCCCGTTTCCAAGAGATCTCATAGACATGTATTTACTCATATACTTTGGAGAGCATGTGGCTTCGCATGTATGGAATGGAGAAGTATATTTTTGAACTTCCTCTGGTTTTTGTTTTTTATGCAAATTCAACTCAATTGATCATGTTATATTTTATTTTCAACGGGAGCGTGAATGTCTGAAATGTGTGAATTATGCAATAATGATTCACGATCTTTATCATCCCAGGGAAGCCTGGTTCCGAAATGTACTCTAGAACTCCAGACTTGCATGTCTTTGTTATTCTGGATACACCAACATCATCCATGGCATGCAGGTTGCATTTTCTGAGAGATGGCATAGTGAAACGTCATCTTTCCACCTCCCCATCGGTGAGATGACTATAACACTAGATGATGTAGTATGTCTCATACACTTTTCCATCATAGGAAGGTTGCTTGATCATTCTAAGATCAGTATGAGTGATGTCATTGATATGATGGTGACTTTTTTAGGAGTTGAATATACGGGTGCCTTTGAGCAATGTAGAAGAACCAGGGGTGCACATGTCAAGTTTGCTTGGTTGGAAGAATTGTATGAAAAATCTTGGATACATCTGAACACCCAGACATCGATGATTTCTGGGTTACCTATCCTAGGGAGTGTGCCATGAGGTGTTTCTTCCTATTCTTGGTTGGCACGTCCATATTTGTGGACAAAAGTACAAACTACATAGATGTGGCTTACCTCAAATATTTCGTCGACTTGGAGTCCATTCACGAGTGGAATTGAGGGACTTCATGCTTGATTTACCTGTACTCCAACCTGAATGAAGGTTGCAAATGGACGACAAAGCGGATGACAGGCTCATGCACCCTGCTTACAGTAATATCTAAATCCCACTATTAAATTATAAACTAATATTTTTTCACACTTGTTACTAATACTTTTTTCTTATTCGTTTTCAAGGATGAATCCTTGCTCACTATCATCGCATCCACGGGTTTAAACGTGACCCGTTCTATACTCGTGATTGGCGATTTGCTTATCAATTTATCCCTAGCAGAGAGAATGATCATATCTTGTCGTATTGTGTGTATATTGACCAGACTCAGTATGACAACGTAAAATAGAGGTCATACGATACTCACTGGAACTGAGTTCCATTCGACCATATTTCCTTATACTTTGGATAGTTGGCGTATAGCATCAACATCATGTGCATGTATATGCCCGAGCGGTGCATGCGGTATTTTGGGTACGTACAGATTATTTTGAGGTCCCTTTCCAGACTGCTCTTATTAGTATTGTCCACATAGACTTGAAGAACATTCTGGCGGATTTTGAGAGTCCCCTGTATCAGTGGAATATCAGACTCATGAGGCCACATCTCAGTGGAGTTATATTGATGGTTACATGACATGGTTCTATAATGTGTCACATCCTTACATGTCACAGTACGCTCATGGACGTCCACCTAGACCTGCTCATGAGGAGATTCTGAAGAATGAGCAGGCCATAGATGATCATGTTGTTGACGTGTTGCTGATCTATCAGACCATTATGCGGATGACAATAGAGGACATCGATTTTGGATTGTTCTAGAGAGGTGGCGCCGAAGCGGTTGAGCTAGCACGTTCCTTTCTTGTCGAGGCATGGAATGTCTTGGGTTACCGTTGGCAGAGGAGGAACCAGGTGATTAGGATTAAGCATATTCAGTAGATTATGCTTTTGATTGTATTTGTTTATTTTTCATTGATTTGGAGAATAATTGTTGTACTATTATAATATTTCTAATATTCATTTCTAAAATATTCGATTTTATTAATGCATTACTCGATTCTACAATATTTATTTTTATTAATCGTTGAAACAAATAACGACAATACTACTTGAATTAAAATTAGTTTGAATTGAAAACAACACAATATTTATTAAACTAGTTTTAGAACAAAAACACGGGCAATAATTCAGAGATACATATCAAAATTTACTCCAAGATAGTTTGAATATACATCTCTGAAGTTATTTCTCATTAAAATTGAGTGACTGGTTAATTTTATAAGGATGTATGGTGACTTCGGAGATGTAACTCCAAATTTACCTTAGATGTATTTGGAGATGCATCTCCGAACTAAATTTTACCAAAAAATAATATTTGACGCGTTCGAAAATATATATTTGAATTCACCCAAAAATATTTTTGGATTTTCTGAAGTGTGCATCATATAACAAAAGTGAGATGAGAAATTGCCTCATTCAAAATACTCCCAGCTCAACATGAACCCAAGCAATGGACTTTTTTCCGTATAATATCCTCAACGTGAATGTGACATTTTAAATTGAACTTTAAATCAGTTCTTTGCCATCAACGTTGAGTCTTCACTCTTCATCCTATTAGACTGGGATTGTTCTGGATTGGTTCAACTCACTCCACCTACTACTAACAGTCTGTACAAGACTGGAATTAGGACAATGCCATTGAAGAAGTCGTCAATGCACATAATGTTCCTCATAATTCAGGTCTCCCCGAAACAACTATATAATGCTTTTGAATCAGAGATAAAAATACAAAAAATTTATATTCATATCTCTTACTTCTTCTTCGCTGATTAACTTGAACGTCAGAGTATTTATAAGTACGGCTCCTGCCAGTTCCAATTTAAAGCCTCCACCAGCTTCCACGTCATCCACAAAAACCACTGATCTTGTGGTTCCAGTTCAGTTCACGGCTTCAAATCATTTATCATCAACTCGTACCATGTTCTCCGTGAAGCTCATAGTTAAAATTAGATGTTTAATTGATGCAATGATGTGGTTAAAACAATTTGTATATTGTTGGATTCAATTCGTTCAATTGGAACCAATGAGACCAAAAATTGGAGAATTGTGATGCTTGAGAATCAAAAATGTAACTAATTGTAATACTTAACTAAATGTAGTATAACTACAATTTATTTTCCATCATGTTAGTCTAAATAAAACTTGCAATAATTTATATTTCATCATGTCTGAATCTAATGTTTGTTTGTTTCCAAGTCAAAACTGCTCCAAACGAGCGTTTTTTAAAAGCTAGGATTTGTAGCTTTGTATTTCCACGGCAGAAATGACTGAACGCACGTTTACAAACAATTTCGAACGTGAAACCAAACACTCGCTAAAGGTTACTTAAATAACACTTGCTAAAACACTAGTTAGATTCAAAATAAATTAAATACACACATAAGGTTATCAAATTGTTCACGAGTAACATAGCTAATCTATGTACTCCTCTAAACAAAATTGCTTATGGCTCCATAATATGCCACAAATGTAAACCAAATTACACTATCATACAAATAGCAATAAATATTACCATTGCATACTACCAGTGACCGAAAAAAGTACTTGGAAGATACTAAAAACTTCAGCAACTTCTGTAAGACATCCTCAGGAAAAAGTTGTATATCTCTCCCTAATAGTGTCTCCCAGCACCATGACTTCTCCCCCAACCCGACCCACCCCCATAGTCTCTGCCATCCCTTCCACCACCGTGATAACCATCTCTGCTACCACCTATACCCTGATGATTATCACGTCTTTGCTTTGGTTTTGCTTTTTCAACTGACAACCAAAATTCTCCAAATGCAGTTTGATCAAGTAGTAGTGCCTTCTTATAGCCTTCAATATCCTTGAAGTCCAAATGAGCAAACCTGCAAAATTTGCAATTTCAGATTGGAATGCAATATATGCAAGAGTGCATCACAACTTCCAGTAGACCAATAACCATACCCCTTAATATTACAAGAATCATGAAATCTCGGTAATGAGATCCTCGTAATCTCTCCACAAGGACTGAAATGATTCTTCAGGCTAGCTTTTATCTGAAAGGCCAAAGCAGGTAATAGTTACAGACCGTTCGAACGCAAATATGCAATGCAAGAGATCATGGCAATATATTGTGGGGACAGATATACAACCAAATAATAAGAAAAGAAAATTACTACCTTTTCTTCGGGAAGGGAAGTATCAAATCCGATCACAAATACAGTTAGAGGCTGCAAAGTTTCGCACTTCGAGAATGGAATGCTCACGCTGCTTAAATTATTATCAAGGAAACAGGAAAGACAGATAAGACAAAATATTAAAATGAATCAACGGAAGAGATTAACTGCTTGTTTGCTTGTGCCAGAAAAAAAAATGTTTTTTTAATCGAAAACATGAAAAGATTGTAATAAAATACAACACCATAAGAAAAGTTATTCAATAAAAGTAGTGGTGCTATAGCACTATTGCATAGCAGAATTATAACTATCCGCTATCTGCAGTCTATACTCTATAACATTGTTCTTAAGATTGACGAATATTATATTTCTTGTATAAAAGAGAGAGAACACAATGCATATACATGAGGCTTAACCTACTCAATTGCGAATAGAATCAATTAAAAAGGGATAGTATAGGAATGACCTTAATATTAGGATCAAGATAGAGGACCCAAGTTCTTAGCCAAAAAGTTTTAAATAAGTTTTGTTTCAATGTCTTGATACCCTCGTAATCATCAATTGTAATCACAATGACATCAACATAAACGACTAGAAATATTTACTAGATGATGAGTATTTGAGAAAAACGAAGTGATCAAACTCACAACAGAACACCCCAAAGTGTTACTAACTCGGCTGACATACTTGAGGTGATTGGTTCATATCATAAAGACTTATGCAATTTGCATATCAGACTATGCCCCCTGAGCAACAAAGTCGCCATGCAAGCAAGGCATCCTAAATATCCCATGAGGTTGCTCCACCTAAATCCTGTCCTCCATGTCACCATGCAAGGAGGCATCCTTGATATCCAACTGACAAGGGTTGACGTTTCATGGCTACCATCATTATAAAACTGACTTACTGAGTGGGAGATGACACCTTATAATCTCTTTTCAAACCTTATCTCTTTTCAATTTGGAACCTGTGTCTATTCTAAAACACATCCGTTCACTAAGCACAATCAGGTTGTGATACCATCTTAAGATTGAATTATAGTACTCCCTCCAGTCACAATTATAAGCAACAATAACCACTTTCACACTGATTAAGAAAATTAGTTATGTGCAATTAATTTTCTTGATTTCATGTACAATCAAAATAAAAGTTACTATAATATCCTTAATTATATTTGATTAATCAACTACCAACATTAAATGCTTTTGAATTAAATCAAGGTTATAATAGTAATATGAACATTAATTAGTTTAAAAATTAATGTTTTTTTGCTTATAATAGTGACCAAGATTTAAGATTTTTTTTTTTGCTTATAATAGTGAGTGGAAGGAGTATTTATTTTCCTGTATAAAAGAGAGGAGGCAAACACACATATGCAGAGCTTAACCTACTAGATCACTAAGATTTGGGAATAGATTAAATAAAAAAAGAGATAGTATATAAACAAAACTACAATATCGCAATAATTATAAGAGCTTTTTTGCAAAACTTGTCCAAATGCATCATAATTTCGTAACAAATAGTGTACAACAACTACCTTCTATTGGGGAAACATTCACCCTCTTCTGGAGCCATACCAACTTTGATGGGATGGTTCGTCAATCTTGTGTAATCCAACGCAAGAGCCTGTGATAAGAAAAGCAAATTGATTATTAGCTTAACTTGACTTTGCATGAAAAAATGAATTCAACGGTTATAAGCAAAGAGCATGCAAGAGTGAGAAAAACTATAAGAGAACCTAAACATATCAAATGTCAACCGCTCATCACATAAAATTAATCTGTTAGAACTTGAGAATTACTAGGAACCAAAAGTGAATGTGGTTGCTCATCACATAAAATTAATCTGTTAGAACTTAAGAATTACTAGGAACCAAAAGTGAATGTGGTTGTTCTATTCTGACAAGTATTTGTTACGGGCACAGGAGTGTCATATAAATGTTATCTATTGCAGTTACATAGTCTAAGTGTGGCCATTAGTATTATTAGAGTAACAATTATTATTATTAGGAGCCGTTACAAAATTTAGGCAGAATAAAAAGGAAAACAGAACCATGTTCTGGGTAGGCTAAAAATTAAAGAGATTATGTTTGGGAGGGAGACCAAGCTCTCGAATTCTAGAAAGGGAGAGAACCAAGACTCTCAAATTTTTTGAAAACTCATTGTAATTGCTATTAAATTTTATATTTTAATATAAATTTCTATCAACCGGTATCAGAGAGCACTTTTTTAATCTGGGAGATGAAATTATAAAAGAGAGAGAGAGAGAGAATGGAATTGTCATCAAGAATGGAAGAAACATTTAACCTTTTTAATGAAGTGTTTACAGAAATTAGAGTTCGGAGAAGAGAACTCAAGGTATTAGAACTAGAAATACCGATCTTTGAAGAAAGGGATGTTGCTAGATGGATGATCAAGGTTGAGAAATATTTTGATGTAGGAGATTGTATGTAAAAAAGAAGATCAACTATCAAAAGTTGTGCAGTGGATGCATGGCAGAGCTGTCACATGGTACTAATTATGGGTTTCGGCCAATCCAAGTGTCATTTGGAAAAAATTTACCAAGGTAATTCTCAAGCATTTGAGTCGCTGGAGAATCGAGAACCAAGATTAGTTGTGAAAGAAGAACTCCATATGTGAATCTAATCGGTTGAGAGAAAGGGTATGAAGCCGAGAAGAGAAAGAAACTTCTTGCCTGATTGATGCACTTTTATCAGTAAAACCGTCAGGCAAAAGTATTGTTATTTGTCAAATATCAGTTACATGCATAGGAGCGCCTATTATAAATGTTATTTATAACAATTACATAGTCTAAGAGCAGTTATTAGTATTATTAGAATAACAATTATTATTATTATGAGCAGTTACAAAACTTAGACAGAATAAGAAGGGAAACATGACTATGTTCTGTAAGGCTTAAAATTAGAAAGATGTCATATTTGGGAGGGAGACCAAGCTCGAATTCTTGGAAGGGAAAGAGAACTAAGACTCTCGAATTTCTTGGAACTCATTGTAACTGCTCTTAAATTTTATTGTTTGCTATGAGTTTTTATCATAAACATTAAGAAAAATCATAGGGTTGAATGATGCACGTAGCCATAGGCGTCAAGTGAAGACAGGCTTGGTTGTTATTGTATTATGTACAGAGGTCAGCTTTAGGCATAATCACTAAGGAAAATCATAGGATTGATTGAATAATGCATGTAGCCATAGGCGTCAAGTGAAGAAAGGCTTTATTGTTATTGTATTATGCAGAGGTCAGCTTTAGGATACATGACCACACTGGGGGATAAGAAGGCATATAAAAGTTGTATATATAAATTAGTTAACACAACTTACCATAGCATGACTTAAAACATTAAGCATGAACTCATATATGTTAACACTTGATCATTCCCAATACAACCAAATATGAATCTTTTATTATTTGAGGTATAGAATTGAGAACATCCCCTTTTCCTTTGCATTATTATGCATTAGTGCTTTAACATGATATGTAACCACATTCATGATGCCAATCCAATATTAGATTCCAACGATAGGAATATAATTGAACAAAACCATGTTCTCACACCATACCTTTAACTACATCAATAATAATAAAGCCCCAAAAACTAGTAATGAGTAAGACATTACAAGTCAACATATTCAAATTTAATCCTGGACTATATGGGATAAATATAGCTTCGAAAGTGTAGTTTTTGTTTTGAATAAGAAAAGGAAAATGGCAAAGATGGAGCATGCACAAGTATTGCTGCAAAGCTTACTTTTATTTAATGAAAAACTAATGTTTAAATACAAAGAAAAAATACAGCATCCAAAGGCACGTTTCAACACTCCTCCTTGCCTTGGAGGCTGCAAATTTCAAGCTTTTTTCTTGAAAATTCAAACCTACTGAGTGGAAACGACTTTGTAAACATATCAGCAGCTTGATCTTCTATTTTACAAAAACTCAAATTTACAACACCATTTTCTTGCACTTCTCTTAAGTAAAATAACTTGACATTAAAGTGTATGGTCTTCCCCTATGATGCATAGATACGGGTACGGTACCCGGTGCGGGTACTGGTACCAGTACGAGATACGACATTTATAAAAAAATTAAAGTACGGAAAAGTTAATAAAAAGTACGAGTTTTTTATAAAATGTATGAATAAATAACTAAATTGTTAGGTTCATAACAATATATCACTACAAAAGTTTTAAAAGATAAAAAATATTGTTAAGATACAATAAAAAAATTAAAATACCTAAGTTTACTATTATTGATATTTGAGAAGAGCACAAATTTCACTCAAAATCGAGTAACGAGAAAAAATAAAATACCATGAGTACGGTACGTGCACCCGGTACGGGTGCGTACCCAGTACTAATACTTCACCATTTTAGAAGCACCCATGCTTTAGAGGTCTTCCCATGAAATACTGGATTTAATGAGATTTAAATGGTTGTTTGATTATCAACAAAAACTTGTGTACTTTTTGCTCTTGCTTCAAGCCCAAATCTGTTAAGATATTCCTTAACCAAATAGCTTGTTTTACCGTTGTTACAGCTATAAACTCAGCTTCTACTGTTGACTGAGTTACAATTTCTTGCTTCTTTGATCACCATGAGAAAGCCCTTGAACCTATGTTGAAACAATACCCTAAAGTACTCTTCATTTCATATCATCCAATCTACCAGCCCAATCACTGTTTGAATAGCCAAATAATTTTGAAGAATTTTGAAGTCTTTGACCCTGTTGTACTTGACTTCATAAAGGACAGTTCGTTTAATGTATCTTAAAACTCTTTTTGCTGCCATCAAGTGCAATTCACTAGCACAATACATGAATCTTGACAACAAACTCACTGAGAATAAGATATCGGACCTTGTAGATGTAAGATACATTTCACATCCAATCAAGCTTCTGAAATGAGCTTCATCAACTTTATTAGCCCCATCCTCCTTGATGAATTTCTCCTTTTGATTCATAAGAGTGTTCATTATTTTGCATTCATCAAGCTGAAATTTTTTTTAAATCTCTTTTGCATATTTTTTCTGACAAATAAAAATTTCATTCTTCTTTAGACTGATTTTCATACTCAAAAAATAAGTCATAAGACCAAGATCAATCATCTCAAAGACATCTTTCATTTCTTGCTTGAGTTCTTCAACTAGTGCTATGTTGTTTACTGGTACTAAAAAATCATCAACATACAAAGAAATGATTAAAATATCAACACCAACATGTTTGACATAAAGTGTAGCTTCAGAGGTAAGCTCTTGGCTGGTAAAGCACCTTCAACCATACAATCTTGCCTTATAAGCCTTTGTTGCTCTTGAGCTTGCAAGGCATGTATGACTTCTGTTAAAGTGATCTTACAAAGATCATTTGTGTTCTCTAGAGACTAAAAATGCCTCATATCTTTTCGGCATTGTAACTAAAAAAAATTCTACAATTCTGGAATCAGCAAAACTAGTACTGAGTAATCTAACTTTATTTGCAATGGAAACCAATTTGTCTGAGTATTCTTTGATTGTCTCGGACTCTTTCATTCTAAGCAATTTGTCTGACTATTTTTTGACTGATTTTCATACTCAAAAAATAAGTCATAAGACCAAGATCAATCATCTCAAAGACATCTTTTATTTCTTGCTTGAGTTCTTCAACTAGTGCTATGTTGCTTCTTGTTACTAAAAAATCATCAACATAGAAAGAAATGATTAAAATATCAACACCAACATGCTTGACATAAAGTGTAGCTTCAGAGGTAAGCTCTTGGCTGGTAAAGCACCTTCAACCATACGATCTTGCCTAATAAGCCTTTGTTGCTCTTGGGCTTGCAAGGCATGTATGACTTAAGTGATCTTACAAAGATCATTTGTGTTCTCTAAAGAGACTAGAGATGCCTCATATCTTTTCGACATTGCAACGCCCGTAATTTAATTAATTATTTAATTAAATTATTTTTGGAATATTTGTGAAGATGTGTTATAATTAATTGGATTTATTTTATTAAGTGGAGAAATAATATTAGAGATATAATATTATGTGGTGAAATAATATTAGAAGTGTAATATTATTTAATGTGGGCTTATTTTGAAGAAATAGAAGTAATAAGGGGGGGTGTTGGTTTTAAGCCCAATAAGGAATAATAGAATAATAGGGTTATTTTATTATTTGTTAGAAGGAATAGAAAGAAAGAAGCAGTAGAAAGAATAAGGATTTGGAAGAGAACGTGCAAGCTGCTAGAGAAAGTGGAAAATGGCAAGAACGAGAATTCAACCGGAAACTGTAGAGCGACCTTCAATCCAAGGTAAGGGTGGGGTTCTGACTCTATAATTGGGTTTATGATAATTGGTACGTGGGATTAGCGGTGATTGTTGTCTTGTTCTTGAATTAAGAATATATGATTGATGTATGATGAATATTTATGTCTTGATGTTGTTAAAACGCTATAGAATTATAAGGTAATTATGGGTGATGAATTGACATGATTATAATAAGTTTTAGGGCTTTAGTTATGGAACCGTAGTGAGATGCAGTGATGAAAAGCGTAGAACATAGCAGTAATGAAAACGCAGAAGTATGCTGGAATGAAACCAGGCGCTACTGTTTTAGAATAATGAGTTAATTTGGAGAAT